AAAAAGAAAAAGAAAAAAAAAAGTGTAAAAGTAATAAGGACATAATTAATATTTATTTAAATGATATTCCATTACAGTAAAGTCTAAAAAAGATGCAAATTATTTTGTTCTCCAAGATTTTGTAGCAACAGATATATGTTACGTATGACTATGCCACTTACTAAGGCTGGAAATACACACCACACAGATTTTCATAGAAGTGGTTCTTCTAAAAAATGACTTCACGTATATATAATGTTGGGAAAAGATAAGCCAGGAGAAATGATGTCATAAATATGCACAATGTATTGCTTGATTACCTATTTTACCAGGCATTTACTGGCTGTCCATGCTGAGCCAAGAACCAGGCAATGGTATTAACAAGCAATGCCACCCTGAACAAAGTAGTCTTTTCCAGTCATGGGCATGCTGCCTAAGGGAAGGAAGCGGGGTCCAAAGTAGTTTAGTTTAGTTTAGTTTAGTTTAGTCACCCAAAGTCATACATACAGAACCAATACCAGAGCTGGAGGTCTGGTTTCCCAAAAGTGTCCAGTGGACAGAGGCCTCAGGGGTTTGGGTGGAGTTAGGGTGAGGCTGGAGCTGAGCCGTAACTGACAGCTTCAATGCGTGTCACTGGCTGGAGTCACAGTGTTTGCCATTGTGAGAGATGGCAAACACTCGGGCTTGTAAGGAAGCCACGCCATAAGGTGTTACCTGGCTTTTTACAGGATAAACATAATGCAAGCGAGTAGCAGTTGTCATTGGCTCAACCAAGAGAAATGCTATATGGGAGAAGGAGCAGCGGGCAGCCCGAGTTCTCATCCTGCCAGAGCCACTGACTTGCTTGGATTTGTTCTGTCTCTCAAAGGCAGTCTCTCTGCAGGCACACTGTTCCCAACTTTAAAACCAGTGAGTTGGACTGCAGCAGTGACTTCCAACTTGGCTAGAAGTCAGGATCACCTGGAGAGCTTTAAAAATCACTGATGGCCTGGCGCCAGCCCCTAAGATTCTGACAATATTTCAAAGCTCCCCACATAACTCATGTACAGCCAAGGTTGGAAACCACTAGACTGGAAGATTTCTAGGGCTTCCTTCAGCCCCAGTATTCCATTATCTTAGCATGTGTGGCAATAATCCTCAGAATGTAATGTGCACAAGAACTGCCTGACAACCTTGTTTGAAAAAACCATACATCTCTGGTCCAAGTCAGTATGTTTTAAATGGGACTCAGGAATCTGCACTTTTAGAGAACTTTAGTTCTTGGGAGTAGCCTGCAAAACACAGTACTCTAACCTTTAGCTGACAGCCAGGACTCTGTTCCTCCTCACCATCATAGTACCAAGCAGGCTTTCCATCTTAAAGCTCACAGCTAGGAGAGCAGGCAGTATGGCAGAGCTGGAAACCACTAAATTAGGTCCATCAGTTGGTCTCTGGTGGGGCTGACAAACAGTGGGAGGAGGCCTCTTGGATTTCACAAGAAATAACATGATACTGCAATTCACCACTGCAGAGGCAGAGACGGGCGGGCAAGTGACAGTCCACAGGGCCACTCGAAGCCACATCAACTGAACATCCTGTGCCATCACCATTATCACATCACCCAGGGTGCCGAAGACTGATTTCCAGCTATAGAAATAACGCCTACCATCTCTGGGTACATGGGCAGGAGATGAGTTCCGTAATTCAGCACTCATTTGCATTTTTAAATTAGTTAGGCCATGGACCGTTGCAGAGCAATGACAGAGAATTTTTATAATAATTAGCCTTGTGGGATGGGGGAAGGGAGAGAGGGGATGGCTCTGCCTCTCGATTTCACTGGGAGGAAAAACACAATTCAGCATCTCCATCTCAGGTCAGCAGATCTGATGATGATTTCCTGGTCCCCATCAACCTCGTGGACCATGGCAGCATCTCCAAAACCTCCAGTGCTAACCATTCAATCTCTATGTCCTTCTCTCTCACCCCATCATCCCCTTTTTGTCCCCTTTCTGTCCCTTAAGCAGTCCCACTAGCATTTCCTTAAGTTGGCTGAATGCAACTGAAGTCCCTTTTGTTAGCTTTTTTCAGGGCTGAATCCAGCTCCACGCTGCACAAATACTCATCCCGTATGAGTCAACACTATAATGTGTTTGCTAAAAATAACTGACGTTGATGGAACTCTTCTGAGTCTGAGAACACATTCCTGGCCATTATCTTAAATGGGTCCCCCACCCTGTCTGAGGAGGAACCAGGCTGGAAGTGATCGCCCATATGTTGCAGTCAGAACACTGAGGCTTGGAGGACTTAAGGATTTGTCCAAGGTCAGACAGACAGCAGAGGGCTTTGTTAAAACAGAAATGAAATCTTTAAACATCAAAATCCATGTCGTGTTTTTCATTTGCAAGATGGATGATAAAGGGGCAAGGCACAACATTTAGAAAGGACTGAGTTTGACGGCAGAGATGAAATCGTTCAAAGCTGTGTTACACTCCATCGCTGCCCTGAGGCCCATGGAGCTCTGAGAGGGGAACTGGTACCTGGAGACAGGAAAGGAATCCTTGTCACACAAGGAATGACAAACCTAGCTAGGAATGTTTAACCTAGGAACACTGAGGAGGCTGGTGAAAGCTTTCCCCAAGCAGCTTCAAAAGGCTTTTGGAGTCAGTTCTGCAGTACTGGAGGCTTTGGAGGCAAATTGCTAGGGTTTGAAACTCAGCTCTGTTAAATCCAACCAGGTGACTTAGGGAACATTGGTAATTCCTAATTCAGAGGCCTAGGGTGCTGGTCCATTTGAGGGAACACTGTTGGGATAATGACTTCTTATAGGACTGTCAAAACTGTCAAATAAACTAATGCAACACAAACTCAATGAAGAATAGTCAATGTAAATGAATATTCAAAAGGTAAGAGCTATGATCATATCTATGTCTTATATGTCCTGGAAAGAGCTTTATGTTCATTTAACAAATTTAATAAGTAGATTTTAATTCTCTTCCTTATATAGATGAAAAATTACAAAACAGATTTAGAGAGATCCACAATTCTTTGGACACATAAAAGTCTCTTGCAAACAGTTACTGGCCCATTAATTCCTTTGATGCAGGTGTATCAAAGATCAAGTCAATGAGAAAAATCCTGCTCAATTGAATAACACACACCAAGCCAGAGAAACTAGCTACACACTATCCCCACTTATATGCAACACTGGATTTGTCCTAGTTGGGTAGCAAAGCAAGGAAGAAAGTAAAAGGAAGAAGGACAGAGGAGAAAAGAAGCTGGCGCTCACGGTAATAAACAATATGACTGACTATATTTAATATCCAAATGACACTTCAGATAAAGTTTGAATTAGTAAATAAGTTAGGCAAGGTCATTTGATATAAGGGCTATCTATCTGCAAAGAATTGGTTATATTTCCATATACTAGTAACATTAGAAATTTAAAAGTTACATTTTAAAGTCTAATGTTTACAACAGCATTAGAAAATCCCAGTTTCTGGAATAAATGTTATAATACAAAATATCAATAAATCTCTACACTAAAAACTAATTTAAAAATCATTGGTAAAAAAACAGGAAAGAAAGTCTAGTTAGAGGTAAAATGTTCATGGATTGGACATATTGGCATATTATAAATATGTCAGTTCTTCCCAGACTGACCTACAAATTCTTTTGATAATTCATCAGATTTTGTAATGCAAACTAAAAATCAAATCTTACATTTTATTTAGGAATTTAAAGTGCCAGGACTACCCAGCTACTCAGGAGGCTCAGGAAGCAAGATCTCTTGAAACAGATTGAGAACTGAGAAAGACTGCATCTCAAAAACAAGCAAAAAGTGCAAAACTAGCCAAAATAACTTTTTTTAAAAGACAAGTTCTCTCTGTGTATGTGTAGCCCAGGCTGGCCTCAAACTCATGGCGATTCTCCTGCCTCACCCACCTGAGCACTGGGATTACAGGAATGTGCCATCGTAACTAAGGCAATTTTGTTGTTTTGGTTTTGGTTTGTTTGTTTGTTTTTTGGTACCAGAGATCGAACTCACAACTGCACGCTTACAAGGCAGGTGCTTATGCCACTAAGCTAAATCCCTGGCCGAATCAAGGTAACTCTGAAGAAGAATGTGCTACTTTGTTTCAAGGCTTATTATAAAGTTATGACAAATGACATACACACATCCCTATACATATATACAATATATGCCATAATTTTATCTTTCGTTTTTCTCAAAAATGCTTTATACTTTTTTCTATAGAAGCTTACATATCTTTTAAATATTTATTACTAACAATTTAGGGTTTTGGTGTTACTATAAATAATAAACAATAAAAACAATGATTTCCTTATCCATAAGTTTTTCAAAAAAATAGCATGCTGGTAGGGAAAAATAGTAACACGTCAGTTCAGTAGGTAAAGAACTTTTGGTGGGGGAGGCATGGGGAAGTACTGGAGCTTGAAACTAGATCTTCACACTGGGCTACATCCATAGCTTTTATTTTTATTTATTTATTTTTAAATTTTGGGACGGTGTCACTAAATTGCCCAGGATGAGCTCAAAATTATGAAACTTCAGCTTCAACCTCTCAGAGTATTGGGATTATAAGTGTGTGACACTATGTTTAGCTAGCAAGTAAAGAACTTTTTACTTTAAAAGTGTTTATTAACCAGATATTGATATAGGGGAAAACCATGACCCCTACTTATATAATACACATGCATACACACACACAAAAAAAATCATTTCCTGACAGATTCAGAATGTAAAGGTAGAAAAAAATAAAGCTCACTAATAAAAATTTGCGAGACTATCTTTGTATTTTTGAAGATGCCAAAAATTTCTTTAAAAACATTCAGAGGTACTATGAAATAATAAATTATATTAAGCTTAATATAAAACTTCTATTAATGAAATAAACCTCAGGGTCAGAAGACAACCTATAGAATAAAAGATGATACTTAAAACATACATATCCTGAAAAATGCTCAAAGCCAAAATAGACAAAAGATTTAGACCAATAAATCAGAAAAGACATAATCTGATAGGAAAAAAAATCAAACAATTTAATGGGCATATCACAAAGCTGACATGTCAATGGCCAATAAATTTATAAAATTTATTGTGCTCTACTTCTTAGAGATTAAGAAAATGCAAATTTCAACTGCAATGTGGCTGTGCCATATACCAGTCAGAATTGCTAAAAGGAAAGAAAAGTTACCATCGACAAAAATCCAAATGTTGACAAAGACACTATACAATTCACTTTCCTCTCACTGGGAAAAAAATATCTGACAGCAATGAGTTAAAGGAGAGGTTTCTTTTGCTCGCAGTTTTAGAAGGTTCAGTCCATGGCTGCAGGCCCCAAGGCACAAGCAGTGGCCCAGGGGATGGCTGAAAGGAAAGAAGCTGGAAACCGAGAGAGAAGGGAGAGAAAAAATGCACGTCTCCCAGGTCACACCCTGCGGTGACCCCCCCTCTGCTGAACGAGTTTCACGTCCTAACAGCCCTATGAACACGTGGGATTTTTGGAGGACTTTTTAGGCCTAAACCATAATGGATACTCCATCAAAAGGAGTTCCCACACACTCCTGATAGTATAAGTACACTGGAAAATGATTTTGGACTAACTATCCTATGACCTTGTAAAGACACACCAAAGTATTAATTTAGATTACTAAAGAAATGCATTAGGGGCTGGGGATTTAGCTCAGCAGCATAAGCACCTGCCTTGAAAGCAGGCAGTCATGAGTTCAATCCCTGGTACTGATTTAAAAAAAAAAAAAGAAATGTATTAATATATCAATCAAAAGCATGCAAAAGGATGTTTATAGTAGCATTCTTCATAATAGCTCAAACTAGAAACCATTCAAACACCTACCAATAGTAGAACTATGCAAAAAAAAATGTGCATTGGTTAATTTTCTCTTGTTGCTGAGATAAAATAACTGACACCCAAAATTAATGAGGGAAAGGTTTATTTAGCTCACAATCTGTGGAGCTTTCAGTCCATAATCAGCTGGCTCCAAGACAGGGTGGCTCATGGCAGAGGGCAACAGTTCATGGTGGCAATAGCAACAGTAGCCAGAGCAAGTAAGAGAAGAGAACCCTCTTTCTGCCCTTCTACCATGCACAGGCTACACACGCTAGGGTGAGTGCAGCACTCACATCGATAATCCCAGCACTGGATCAAGAGTCAATCACAAACTCTAGAAGCCCACATGACTGCATGTGGCTTTGGGGGAATATCTAGACACAAACTATAACAAAATGAAATACAGCAATGAGCGTAAATTAAAATTATATGTGATAACATGGATGAATTTCACAAATGTAATGTTTAACAAAAGAAGCCAAAGAAAAGGGATATTGACTTTCATATTTATATTGAATTCAAAAAGAGCTGAAAATGATATACAAGTGAAATCAAGTTAGAAATAAGCAGGAAGAGGGTTTCTCTGGTCTTGTTAATGAATATTCTTTTTCTTGATTTTGGCATAAGTGATAAGTATATGCTGATATTGAAAATCCATCAAATTATGGATGTACAATAATTGTACATTTCTATGTGATTATTATAATTCTACATAACTATAAAAACTGAAACTGTATAAAGTAGAGGATTCCCTTCTGGCTAGACCATTAGATCCTTGGAAGAGACCAGCTATAGGTAAGACAAGAAGAATTAGTTGTGATAATATTGACAAGGGGCTCAAAATACAAAAAAAAAAATTAGATGTTTAAGTCTCTCTTGCTAACGCAAGATTTGGCAAACTTAAAGGGCAAACTTTAAACATACTCAGCTTTGTAAACCACACATTCTGTGTCACAACCACACACCTCTAATGGTGCAGCATAAAAACAGCAGGAGATAATATATAAATGAAAGAGTATAGCTGGGTTTCAACAAAACTTTATTTACAAAGCAATAGAGGGAACAAATTGGTAATTTGTACCCCAGACTGTGGTGGACATATGGGATAGTTTTGAGCATTTGGGGATATCGTGAAAATTATGCTTGAGGAAAATCATTCCAACAGAAAATACAGAACAAAGTATTTGAGGAAAATACCTTTTGCATCCAAAATCTAACTAGGGCAAAAAGCTATGGAGAAGCATGTAATGGGGAGGAGAAGATAACAAAGAGTATCAATAACACTTTCCCCTTCGGTCTCTGGAGTGCTCATGGTTTCTGTGTTCCTCTAAAGGATAAACCAGAATGGAAAGCTTAGGTACCTGCACACCAACCTCTTACACCGCCATGTACACAGAGGAGTCAGGGTCAAGAAAACAGATTGGACTGCCTTGTCTAAGGGTGTTATTCTCAAAGAAACACAAGCAGTTGATACAGCTTGCTGGGGAATCTGTATAGCCATTCTCATACTTTTTGGATGTTTAATCTTACTCTGGCATAAGAGTTAAATCTGAGTTTTACCCAGCCTAGAATAGCTTGTGGAGACAGTGGGGTCAGATACTTTTTCTCTCCTTTTTTTTCTGCACCTTTCTTTTTGTATCAGTATCCTAACATTAGAGAGAAAAGATCCATTTGATCTCCCCTCACTTTCCTCTAGCCTGCCCCAGCCTCAACCAGAGGAAACACCTGGCCAGCTGATTCCAACTTTGAGGTTTGAATCCAAATACTTGTAATAATAGTGTTAATTTTACACATGTATTCTTCAGGAAGCTTACGGAAAAAGGACTAACTGGGGGAAAGCAGGCTGTGAGTATCTGTGGGTGCTCTCACACACAGAGCCATAGCAGCCTCCCAGGGTCCCACAGCTGCTATCACTTCAGTTGCCAAGCAAGCCAGCACTCTGGGAAAGAATACAATGGCAAGTCTGACCTAAATTCTGGAAGATCTACCAAATAGATCACCTAAATGCAGTTTCTTCTTGTCTTCCACCTTGAATCCATCCTTACACACACACTCACACCTACACACACCACTGTATGAATTAACATGAGAACAAAAGAGCAGAAAAATGCACTACTTCTGCTCATAGCACTTAACTGAAAGTTCTCCTGAAAATGTAGGAGGAAAAAGCAAGTGGTCTTCCCCCCTGAGCCATTTGCCAACAGGCTACTTCCCCCTGTTCCCCTCCTCCCGCTAGGCAGGTATTTTCTCCTTGTTAATCATTCTGCCTGCATCAGAAAACATTACCTCTGTGACCACAAAATAGCAGCCTCATTACTGGAACCACAGCCTGCAGTCAGATGGATTTCCCCAAAGGCCCCCAAACCTTTCCATTTTATTACCATGTCACTCCTCATTTTAACACATATTAATCACAAAGATACATTTTTCTTGGGCTATGAATTTAACTGAACCTCTCTGAGCACTTGGTAAAGGTTGGTTTGTGGGAGAAAGAAATGGAATGATTAAATTTGTAAAGCCGAGTCTCTATCCTTATTTATATATGCAGAAAAAAGGAAGTGGTCTGATGTAGATTTCAAAAACAGGTTAGGAGCCCATTTTTTGTTCTCAAGAGGCTGTACATGTAATGAATAAAGGTCTGGAGTTTAAAGCACTCTGGTTAAGGAATGTTCTTCCTAGCTGCGTGCCTTAGACAAATGGGTTTGTATTGTAGTCAGGGGTTGTGCAGAGAACAATTAGAATCAGGACATGGAGTTTATAATATTATGTTTATAATGGTCACCATGAGTTAACACAAGAAAATGCAGGAAATCTATCCGAAACACCAAAGACCTAAAATATTTAGTCAAGGGCCTAAACCCTACAGCAATGTCCCACATGAGTCCAGATGAAAACTTAGAGCTCATGACAACGCCTCCCACGAGTCCATCTGTAGGTCCAGAGCCCACAAGAAGGACTCATGCCAGTCTTTTACAGATCTGTGCCAGGAAGGCCTAAAGGTCAGCGATAGAAGCCAGAAAGTCCATGTCAGCAGGGTGAAGGAGCTGTGCTGATGGGGTGAGGGTTCTATGCTGGAGCTGAGAAGTCACCCTCACAACAAGGACCAGGGCTGTCCTGAAAGGCACCACAGCCATCCTCAGCGACATGGAGGTCCCGAGCTCCTCCAACAATAAGCACAGTCAGGTACATGCCAGGAAGCCAGTGTGACGAGTTCATCCTGGAGACCAAGCAGCGCACATCTTCGCCTCTGGACCTAGAAAGCAATGCTTGATGTGAGGACCAGAGTTTCTCCAGGAGAAGCAAACATCTCAAACAGCAGCATGTAGGAAAACCCACAATGCCTCAATGCAACAATGCATTACCGCCTTCTTTCTCCTTCTCCATGTCTCTATTTATGCTGGCAACTTTCCTCAGGTGGAGCATCTATGCTCAGTGCCATGCTGATGTAATTAATCCATAACAGCTTGTCTTTCTGACCTTCAAATTCTCCAACTAGAAAGTGAGGTTACTTTCTCCATGAGTGGCTAGAGAGTGTGGGTGACCCTGAAACTAGTGTCCAGTCCACGGGGAGTAACTCAGTTTGCATAAGCCAGTGCTTTTCTTCCTTTTCCTTAGTTAAATGTGCCACCCTGAAAATCATATTTCAGTTTTTAAGACAAGACCCACTAATCTCTCTCCCCTTTCCTGCTCTCTCACAAGGACAACAGTCTGCCCTTGTAGTTTGGATGATTTTGTTTTCATTTTGTTTCAGGATTCTATGAAATACGTAGAGAAAAGTAAATTGTTCTGTTTCCCTAAGTGTTAAGTGGATTCCCCTCCCAGTTTCTGCTAGTTGAGAAATGGAACACTCCTACTTTTTTAGGGCAGAGAAGTTATTGGGTATGGTCAGAAGACCCCCAGTGAAGAAGAAAACTAAAGTGTATGGCCCTGTCATGCAAAAGCCTTGCTTGAGTGGGGGCTGGAGTGTGTTCCTTGTGTGGTCAGTGTGGGCTTCCCAAGCTGAATGCTAACATCTCATGCTGACTCCCATCCTCTACCTTAACCAACAGCCAGAAATGGCAAAGACCTGGTCAAGCACACAGACGTAAGAAAAGGAACTCACTGACATTCCTATGAATGTTATAAAAGCTATGAACATGGTCCTTTGGGGACTGAGCTGCAAGCATTGAGTCCGCAAGCAACAGTTCAGGATTGCAAGAAGCAGAACAATACCACACTCAAGTGTCCGTGCATCTTCATCCCTAAATCAGGTCTGCCACCGAACAGCTGTGAAACAATGACCAAGTCACACTTGCTCTCTGGCCTCAGGTTTCTCGAGTCTTAGGTGAGGATGAGAGACTAGATGCTCTAAGGCGGTGGTGGGTAGTGACCCTATGGCACACATGCAGCAGGGACTGTTTGTCACCTTGAAAGCTCTAAAAGCTTCGCCATGACTGACCTAAAGCCTTCTTGGCTCAAAAGAGTGTGGGTCTACACTAGCAGACTTACAACTCTGTGCAAGTTATTAACTCTTGCTTTTCAAGGTGAGTTAATTAGTTACATGCAGTCATATTATATCATACTGTAGGAAAGATTTCAATCCATGTCGGGAAATTCCCATCATGAGTCAGTTCAATTCTTTGCCTGCCACAGACACTATTTTAATCCAGTTGCAAAAAGGGAGCTAAAAAGAACACCATTGGGTGGTGGTGGGAACAAAGGAGAGTGAGGGTGGTGTGCACAGCACAGCTGTCTGTCAGGAAAGACGATGAGCCAGGGATCTGGGAAGGAATTCATGGACTGGCTTTTCCTTAAGCAACCTCAGGACGCTGCAGCTCTAACTTCTTGCCTTCCATACAAGTTTCTGTCCAGAGTCAAGTGACGAGGAAGGACAGACTGATTGATCTGACTTGGGCCCCTTGTCCTCTCTTGCAGTACGGGAAAAGGGAATCTGGCGAGTGGCAACCCCACCAAAGCCACATGGAGTGGGCCACTCCAGAGGCTGACCAGGAGTCTGCAGGCAGCCTGATGTCAGCTGGCAAAAAAAAAAACAAAAACAAAAAAATCACCTTTCCCAAGAAGGCATGGTCACTGGGGGGTTTCATCTTTCAGCTAAAGAGAAAGATTACTGAGGTCCACCCTGAAGCCAGAAGCAGGGCCACTGCTGCCATGGTGTGAGTAGATTTGCCTCTGTAGTTTCTGCAAGCACAGCATCCTCTGCAGGCTGGGCCTTCTGTTTTGGCGTGGGAACTTGCACTTCTGAGAGACAGGAATCCTGGGCTTCCTCTCAACAGGTGGAAACTGGGTGCAGACAGGCTGAGCTGGGACTACAGCCCACACCGGTTTGTCTCCAGAGCCGGATGCCATTCACTGCCCTGTCCTCTGACAGCACAGGGAACAGGGAGACCTTCCTGCTCATATTTGATGGGGCCTGGATCTCCTAGGGTGAGAATGCAAAATGTTTCCTTGGGCCTCTGCCAGAGAACAACCAGCTCTCCAGAGAGGAGACCCGGAGAAGGGATCTCAGAGATGCACAGATAGGTACAACACAGTCTGTTCCTTCACGGTTGCTTAGGTTTTGGAAGTACATAGCTTTCAATATGAGAAGAAAACTAATATGGTTTTTAAACTTGGAGGAAGGAAATAAAATGCAATGGCACTTGAATCTTCTCCAATGGTTCTACTCCTTAAGGTCACATTTCATAAAGGAAACAAAGAAAATCTAAAGCCTGTCCTCAAAAGGCTAGACATTGTAAATCCTTTTTTTTTTGAAAGCTTGTTTCTACTACTTATAGTCATTCTATATGATAAAGCAAGAGTGACTGGCCTCCAGGTTTCCTTCTGTCAAATAGTGAGTCTTCCATGCACAGCCTTCACTGGAATTTGCAATTTGTCTCTCATGGATTCAAGCTGCAGCAAACACCCCAAAGTAAAAGGACTTTGTGCTTTCTCAACCAGTAAACTAAATAATCCAAATTTTGTGTGTGAGGTTTTAAAAACTTGAGATCTGAGTCTACGACCTTGTCAAATGAAAGCAAACACACACATTTCCTGTGTATGTTCCTGAGAGGTGAGATGATAAACAGATGAATTCTGCCAACGTTGACCCATGACTACCAGAATGACTGAGTAGTGACAGCTTTTGAGACCACATCTGGAAACAACAGACACAACTCCTGTAATCAATTGCTAATATCTGCTATGTCATAAGAGTTGGAGTGATGGGCTATGATTTGAGGACTTGTTGACTAATTTAGCAAGCTTACACTCATAATGAATAAGCTCACACTTTAAAATCTACTAAAGGAAAATAGAGGACAACAGACTTGTTGCTTACTTGTCAGGAGACAAGGTCCAGGGCCGATGGTCTGCCCTACAGTAATACCTTCCTTCCCTACGAAGCCGTCATCCCTGCCCTTTGACCATTTAGAGCTTAGAGGAATGTCTAAAATTGTGAGAGCAGGATGTAACTATTAAATTCTTTCTCTGTTAGCTTGACATTTATCAGTGCATACCGTAATTATCCACTAGCATCCTAATGAGTCCCTAATGCAGAAGTTCTCAAACCTTGATGCATACCATGGACACCTGGGGAGCTTTTAGAACTTTCAATGACCAGGTTGCATCCTAATTAACAGAATGGCTGGGGATGGGAGCCAGGCATCGGTATTTTACAAAGGTTCTTGGGTGATTCCAAGGTGCAGCTAAGTTCAGGAACCACTGAGCTAAATCTATACCAATGAGAACGGAGAGAGAGTACCCAGAAGTATAGAAGGAACAAATGATGGGGTGCACCTGAATCAGATTTATGGTTTATAACTCTGTGGGAATGCACCCCATTCTGAAAGTGAACAAAGGACTTTGTGTGAAGGGGTCTAAAGATCTTCTGACATATACTGAAGGAAGCAGCCCCTTGTAGAGAAGGAAATCTCAGGCACAGATGAGGAGGGAGAGTGTTTAGATACAGGCAGACTTATATAATGTTAGATAGACTAACAAATGGCAAGTAAACTTGTTATTTGAACCATGGACTATCAATGCTAGGACAACTTCAGATACTATTTAATCTAACCACTGGCATTAAGGATGGAGAAGTTGGGATGCAGACAGAAAAAAGCATTGATGGCCACTCATTAAATTTTATAGATCATTTTCATACCTGAATTCCAATATTAATTCCAGAGTCCCCCCACTGTCATTCTACCCTCTCTTTACCACTTACCATGTGCAAAATGGAGCTCATTATTCCTATATCTGCAGTGGCCTTGCCTAAAACTGCATCAGGCACCTCTGATCTCTCCATGCCCGTCCTTCCCATAGCCAACCCAGCAGCATACACTGGACTAGAGCCTACCTCCTACATCCAACCCATCAGCCTACCACAGAGTCTGCCTCCAAAATAGACAATCAGTGTGCCCCATCGTGATTACTGCTAACATAGTTACTCAGCTCTTGTTTGGATCTTTGTCATAGCCTTGTCCTAACCACCCCAGATGTTCCTTCTGGACCATTCTCCACACAGCAACACAAATCAGATCAGAGAGATCCCTTGCTTAGAAATCATTTCAAAAAGATTCCTGATGCACTTAAAATGCAGGCTCCTTAGGAAGAAACACAGGCTGAGCAGCTTGGGCTCCGTCGCTCTCCAGCTTCAGCTTAGGCCACCTTCCACGGACTCTCTAAGCTCCCATTGTGCCATTTTCTTCCCATTCCTAGGACCCTCTGAGTCATCTCCAGCTCTGACACTCCAGCCCACGATGCTTTGTGCCTAAAATGCTGGCACCTCCCGTGCCCACTTCATTAGCTTGGGTGGCTCTTTGTCAAAAGGTTCTGTGATAGTTACCTGTTGAGTCAACTTGAGGAAGGAATGCAAAGCTGACTGGCTTGGCATTGTCCTGGGTGTAACCAGATAGATTTACTAAAGATGAAAAACCCACGTTGGGTGTGAGTGGCATCAACTAATCAGCTTATAACCTGAATGGAATAAAAAGGGAAAGAAAAGAGTCTTGCTTCTTCACCATGGACATCCAGCACAGACCCTTCAGCCTTCCATCGCCATCCCTGAGGCTTCGTGATACAGACTTGGGTGGGAATCTCTACTGAGCTCCAGGTGTTTACTTCTGACTGCATCCTTTCCACTGTGCAGACAGCTGTTTTGCACTTTCCACAGCTGACTCTGCAGGTGGCCAGGGGCCGCTGCAAGCCAACCATGTAATCCATGTACTATACAGTATATATATAGCTTATCTGTCCTTCCTCCTTCCCTTCTCATCT